TGTTAGTGCAGAAGAATCTGCTGAAGCAACAGGATCAGTGAAGTAGTGAAGAGTTCATGTGCTACACAGAAGCTGGAAGGAATAATCAGCAAACTAAGGAGAAAAGTCTTCGTGTGACTAGGCACGCCAGGTGGCACCTCGAGTTGGGAACCTCACTACCAGGAAGCGTACGCGGGATGTCGGGTTCAGGAAACAAGGAGGTCTGACACAAGTGCACAAAGTCAAGGTGCAAGTGGGATTACTTACTGTTGATCAAAGGTTGATGAGACTGGTGGTCTGACATCAACAGGAACAGTTCTGTTGCCCTTGCGAATTAAGGGGGAGCTGTTTTTAGGACTATAGGAGTTGTTGGTTGTTACTACTATAAAAAAAGGGAGAATAGTTCATATGCCGACTAGTTCTTCCGAACTAGGTCTTTGAAGAACTCAAAAACAGTGAGAGCCATTTGATATGTTGTATCAACAGGATTACTTACTGTTGATCAAAGGTTGATGAGACTGGTGGTCTGACATCAATAGGAACAGTTCTGTTGCCCTTGCGAATTAAGGGGGAGCTGTTTTTAGGGCTACAGGAGTTGTTGCTTGTTACTACTATAAAAGAAGGGGGAATAGTTCATATGCCGACTAATTCTTCCGAAATAGGTCTTTGAAGAACTCAGAAACAGTGAGAGCCATTTGATATGTTGTGTTGAGTGAAAGAGATAGGTTTCATAACTATTGTTGCGTTACATTGGGTAGATTAGGAACATGTTCAGGAGCGAATCACGTGTGTGTGATGTCGCGTAACTCTGGGTAGAATAGGTTGTAGGATCTGTTCTATAGAAGTATTTGAGTAATCTATCTGTTGCAACAGCTGTGTCGTGTATCAGCTGTTGTGCCATGCGGGGAAAGCAATAAAGACTGTGTGTTTTTATTGGAAACTATCTGTCTCTTTTTCATATCTCTATTCAAGTATCTTTTGAAAAGGTTCCTGCTTTTTCACAAAGTATTTTAAATGATACTTTTTGAATGAAAAGTAATTTCTTAATCTTCGCGCTTTTAGCCAAAATATCTTATACTTTGAAGTGGAGGGAGTATTAAGTTTTTTTTTCTCTTCTCTTTTATGTGTACTAGGACTCAAACCCCCGCGAAATCGCAGGGGTAAAGAATCTCCAACTATTTTTTTTTCAAAAATTTGTTGTCAAAACAACCAAAGATAAAATTTACTTTCAATACGCATGCATGTCAACGTAAACCCATAATCATCTCTCATGGAAATTATTAATTTTCAAATTGAATTCAAATCAAACTTCCAAAAAAATATGTAATGAAGAAGAAACAATTTAGATCTTGTTTGCAACAAATTGAGAACAAATGACGTTTACTACCAATGTCTTTCTCTTTGCTTTCTAATAAGTTAATAATCATACCCAAGTTTTAAAATCTCCACATTTCATTAATCTATTAATTGGTTCCTTTATACATAGTCGTCCATTCTTTCCTATAAATTTAATGCCTAAAAATGTTAAAGAGTATTAATAAAGTAATCATTGCAAGATTGTGTAAATATCATAACACTTAAGATTTTAACTTATTTGAAGTAGTCTTAATGCTAATGTTTGGTATCATTTAAAATTCAGCATCTAAATACAAGTAATCAATCGGAGGTTTAGGTTTGTTTTTAGATCTCGGTGGTCGCCACGTCAACAACGACAAACGATGTCTCATCCGACTTGTCCACCAGAGCGTTGATACTCCACCAACCTAGGCTAAATCAACACATTGTTGTTTGTTGTTATTTTCATCCTCGACAACGACGATGAGTGACCAATTTCGGCCTCGAGAGTGACGTTCTTTGAGGACGAATTGTGGTGAAGATTGAGAAAAGGATGATGAAACTCATGACTGACGCGCAACGGGAAAAGGAGTAAAGAACACAAATAATAGGTAAAACTTTTTTTTTCAAAAGACGCAACTCTTGAAAAATAACCATAAAGTAGTTTTTTTTATATCGGAAAGACGCAAATCTTGAAAAAACGGTTATATCGAAAAGACACAACCCTTAGAAATAACTATAAAGTGGTTATAATGGAAAAACGTAATCCTTCAAAAAGTGATTATATCGATAAGACGCAATCTTTAAAAATAACCATAGAACGGTTATTATTGAAAAGATACAACCCAAAAATACAACCATAAATTTATGTTGAGACGAATGAATAATGTTAGTGAGAAACTTTTTTCCTTCCACACAAAATTTACGGATTGGAATCATACTTCTTTGTCTAACCATTAGAACAATGTTTACGCGGCTTTGCAAACCATAAAAACTTCTTTCATGTATAAAGAATCAAAGTTTCTATAGATAATTGTTAAATTAAAAAACTCACTACATGCACCACCTATTTCTAGAAAAATAGAGTTGGAAATTTCATTACTTTTATGTTGGAAATTTGATGTTGCATTCCAATGTATTTAAAACTTGCTTTAATTGTCTATAGAAATATAAAATTCTGACTTTTTTTATCTTTCATATGATTTAATTGAATTAAACAATTAGTAGTCTCTATTAACAAAAAGTTCAACGGAAAAAGAGTAAAAAACATAAAGCAGTTTTTTATATCGAAAAGATGCGATCCTTGAAAAATAACCATAAAGTGGTTATATTTCGAAAAGACACAACCTTTGAAAATAACCATAAAGCGGTTATTTCAAAAAGATGCAATTCTTGACCAAATAGTTATAATGAAAAAGACACAACTCTTGACAAAACGATTATAATAAAAAACGCAACCCTTGACAAAATGGTTATATCGAAAAGACGCAACCCTTGACAAAATTTTTATATCGAAAATACGCAACTTTTGAAAATAACTATTAAAAATAACAACTAAACAGTTTTTTACGAAAAATCCAGAATATTTTTGGGTTTGCTATTATATATAGATTTAAAGTTTTGAATCATATATAGAATAACCTGAATAAAAATCTTAAACTTTTGTAAAATCTCAGTAACTTCCACGACTAATATACCCTCTAAACAAAAAAAAAGAGTATCACTATTTTCAACACCATGCCACCGAATACTACAATTCTCTCGCATAATCTTTTGCTATGTACGAATATATACTCGTCTCTTGGCAAAATCTTGTTAACTTTAATATATAATAGTAAAAACATCTATATTTTAAAATAATTTCAAAATAATAGAATGATGTCTTTTTATCTTTTTYATGTTTTAAGTGAATTAAACAGTTACTAGCCATGATTAACAAAAAAGTTCAACGGAAAAGGAACACAATTATACAGGCAAAAAAAAATTTCCAAAAAGACGCGATCCTTGGAAAATAACTATAAAGCGGTTTTTATATAAGAAAAACACAACTCTGTAAAAAATGGTTATATCAGAAAATCGCAACTCTTCATTAAACGGTTATATCGGAAAGACGCAAGTTTACTTAAACGGTTATATCAGAAAGACGCAACTATTGATAAAACGGTTATATTGAAAAGACGCAATTTGTGAAAATAACCATTAAAAATAACCACCAAACGGTTTTAAATAACAAATCACACCCTAAAAATATTCATTTTTTTTGTTTGCTATTATATATAGATTAAATGAAATAGGTTTTAAGATTTTCTCATAACAATATTAATTAATACATGTGTAAAAAATTTTGAATTCCAATACACTTAGGTTTACATACTATTTTATTATGGATTATAATATTTTTCTATTATAAAATAAGTTTTTATGCTCTCTCAATCTTCTCACCAAACAATTTTAAATTTCAATAATCTCTTCCATAAATTTTATTTCAGCTTTTTCACTAGAAAATAACAATAAGTGTCTTAATGAAATACTAATTACTTGATGAATAGGTTTTCTATTACTTGATGAAAATATTTAGCGTATTTTGATTTTATAACAAAAAAAGTCTTAATATATTACTAATTACTTGATTAATATCTAATTACAATTCGATTTTATTTTAACGCATAAAAATACTGTTCAAAACTTTGTGCATCATTCGATTATTGCAAAATTTGGGAATCAATTATGTGAAGAAAATCTTATTAAAACTTGCAATTTTAGTTTGCAACTAAAAAATATGAGATTCGATTCGTCAAGATTTTAGAAAAATAGATATATGATGACATAAAAAATAAACTTAATTCAATTAAGAATAGAAAAAACTAATAATTTGAAAATATGTGACAACTTTAATTGAAAAGAAAATAATATAATAAAAAGAGTCAAAACAACTTAATAACGATGAGACTTCTCTATAAAAAAAATTGCACTTTTTTTGTTTTGTTATTTTCAC